ATGAGTACGAATAATATAATTTATATTACACTGTAATGAACTTAAAAACAGGAGTATAGGGAGAAAAGATCAAAGATTTGTGATGTAGTTAATTGATTATGACAATAATCCGCCTCACATTGCCTCCAAATATGACAAGATTTAGAGAGCCGGATAACAGGCCAATGACATGCAAATAAATGGCTCCATGATTTTTCAATTTCATAGATTTCTTTTCCATCATTAATCCCAACGCTGACGTCTTCTCACTTTTGACAAGACTGAACTTTATAATTCACTGGCGGAGGTCAGAGGTCAACAGGAGAGGGAAAGGAAAATAACTCCCTCAGTGAAAAGCTTGAAGAAAAAAATCTGACATCCAATTTTCGAGTTGATTTATCAGTGTAAAGCCAAAATTGATAGTGTGTCATTACTGGGCTCAGAGCTGTCTGGCAACGTCCTATCAAAGCCTTCTCTTTCTGATTTAGCAGCCCAGATCAATACAACCCTATACTGTTTCAATTTGAGAAGTATTGATTTTCTGATGCCGACTCAATACAGGGGACATTCATCATCAGGCAAGCATGAAGTATGATCGAACTAAAGATTCGTAGGCTGGATTTGGTTATTTGGCTTTCAGCTCATGCAGCCATAGAGCAATTGCTATGCAGCGTTGCATCTTTCGGTGCATCATCCCTCACAGATTATTTGATTTTACACAACAAAGAACATTTATTTATTTATCTAATAATGTACACAACTGCTTTTCTGGTAGTGTTCATCAAAATATATATATAAACAAAAAACATCTGCAGTTGTTACACACACACAAAAAAAAATATGGCGAAAATCAAAGCGGTGCTCCACTGCATCATGGGAACGTTTGTGCTTTCAGAAGCCTAAATGTGAAAACATGATACGGCGCATTTTTCAAATCAGTATTCGATAATTTTTCATGTGTCCCCAGGCTGTAGCAAGTAAAAGGAGAGTAAAAGAAGAAAACCAATCTGGGTGCGTTCATGCTCAAAGACGCACACAAACAAACTAATACAAATACATTTTCAGGCGGACACACTAACTCACACATATGCAAAGTACACACACACACACACACACACACACACATACACACACACACACGCTTCAGAACGCCGCAGGCTTTCTATTTTACAGAAGCCGCATAAATGGGAAAGTTAATGTAGCATTGAATAAGACTAAGCTGCTCAGCTGTAACACCGCCTTGAGCTCATGAACATATTGCATCATTTTTCTTCTCCAGCAGGTTACCATTAAATTTGAATTTGTTGGAAGTTTTGTGGTACCATTTACAATGTGCCCCAGCTCAATAACCTTTTGTCTCAATGCAAATGTTATGCCTTCCAGGTGGTTTTCATAAATATTTGAATAAGTCTGAATAGTGGCAGAGACTTTCAGCCAAACCACCGTATCAAGCTTTTTTATTATTTTGTGTAGTTGGTGTTAGATTCTCTTTATTATTATGGTACAAAGACCTTGATGTGATGAATTTAAGGCAGCATTTGAGAAACTGGATGCCACTGTTACATAACATGTTTCAGACATGGTCAGCCTTTGATGATACTGTCATTTCATGGAGAATTGAGAATACTAAATACATTTTTAATTAACTAAAAGCGTTAATAAATGTAAATTACATGAAAATTACATTTTTTTTAAAATATGACACTCTCAATCATCCATAGTAATACATTTTAATAAATTAAAAGCGTTAGTAAATGTCAATAAATAAATGTACATTACATGAAAACCTGCAGTGTGTTATTTCTTGCTTTCTACTGTAAGCACATGGGAAATGTGTTCTAAACACAGATTTAAAAATAAAATAGGACAACCCACATACATATTTAGCTGTGAATGTGGTACAGTGCAATACATTTTCACGCCAACACACTAACACACACATATGCAAAGTACACACACACGCATGCTTCAGAATGCCGCAGGCTTTCTATTTTACAGAAGCCGCATAAATGGGAAAGTTAATGTAGCATTGAATAAGACTAAGCTGCTCAGCTGTAACACCGCCTTGAGCTCATGAACATATTGCATCATTTTTCTTCTCCAGCAGGTTACCATTAAATTTGAATTTGTTGGAAGTTTTGTGGTACCATTTACAATGTGCCCCAGCTCAATAACCTTTTGTCTCAATGCAAATGTTATGCCTTCCAGGTGGTTTTCATAAATATTTGAATAAGTCTGAATAGTGGCAGAGACTTTCAGCCAAACCACCGTATCAAGCTTTTTTATTATTTTGTGTAGTTGGTGTTAGATTCTCTTTATTATTATGGTACAAAGACCTTGATGTGATGAATTTAAGGCAGCATTTGAGAAACTGGATGCCACTGTTACATAACATGTTTCAGACATGGTCAGCCTTTGATGATACTGTCATTTCATGGAGAATTGAGAATACTAAATACATTTTTAATTAACTAAAAGCGTTAATAAATGTAAATTACATGAAAATTATATTTATTAATATGGCACTCCAATCATCCATAGTCATCCCCTTAAATAAATCAATCAATAAATAAATAAATGTATTAAGATTCACATGTGAATACCCATAACTATAATGAAACAAGCATCTCAACAATACTTGAAAAATAATAATGAATAAACAAATACAAAAGGCTACAAAGCAAGCAAACCTAAAATGAATATTTTATGTTAGAACAAACTGCAGTGAGTTATTTCTTGTTTTATCCTGTAAGCACATGGGAAATGTGTTCTAAACACAGACTTAAAATTAAAAATAGGACAACCCACATACAGAACATATTTAGCTGTGAATGTGGTACAGTGCGGTTACAGCACTGCTAATGTAAGACTCTGTATCTGACAACATGTCAAAGAACAAGGACTGACAGATCAAAATTATGGGATGTCTAGAATCTTGATCAAAACTGATAACAGAAGTACAATCAGTCCACCATTTCCACCGAAGCAGTTCATGCTGATGTTTCTTATTGGAGCGGGTAAACATGATGCCATCATGTACATTCAACCATCTGCAGTGGATTTCTCAAATTTAATAAGAAACCCACAGCCACTGTTTCTGCAAATCCAGCCAATTTGGAAGGCAAATCAGTAATTGTGCTTGGAGTGTGTGTTTGTGTACAAATGTTCGTAAGTGGGTCTTCTGGCTGTTGGCCAATGTGCTCCACCAATGGAACTGAAGGCGCATTTGCTGCAGGCAATTCCACAGCTATTTCAATTATGGACTTTCTGCTAATATTCATGTTTTATATACATTATAGTTTTAATATTTTATATTTATTTTAATGAGTATTCTGTCAATGCTTTCCAGTTGAAATATCTTAATATTTCAAAATCATTACAACTATTTTTTTTATAGATCGCAAGTGTGTCTTGTATTCCCATTAGTTTTTTTTAATTGTTTAATTGATAATGAGCTATTGCTCACCCCATCCCTCTCGTCCATTTTTTATGTATTCAGTGGTGCATTACCATCAAAAACAAAATTAATGCACTGCGTCCTCAGTGGCTCTGATGTCGGGAAAAAAAATTAAGATTTTTAATAAAGGAAACAAATCTTAATAAAGGAAACAAATGAAAAATACACTCATATTAAAGAAACACTTTCTGAAAATGTATTCATATTTTTATATTTATTTAATATTAATATTTTACGGAGAGTTGCTTTACAAATACATTTGTCTTGTAAGGTATTTGTCTTGTTAGATATTGCAACTTGGCAACAAGTCAAAAAATGTAGAAGTAAAATAAAAATTCATTAAAATTAAATTAAGCACTGTATTACTGTGAAATTTCTGCCCCTCTAGTGTCACCAAGTGGAATTGCTAAAATAATGACTGTTTTCAAATGGGTTTTTATTCTTCCGACTGCCATTGGTCAAACAAACTTACTGTCCCACCCCAAACACACATCATTGGTTGAAACACAGACGGCTTACTTATAGTTGCCTCAGTATATTAAAGTGGGTTAAAAGAAAGTATTTTAACATGTATTTAAATTATTACTTTACTACATTCAAAACTGTTTGTGCTAGTTGTTGTTTCTTAATTTTTCTCCTTGATCATGATCTTGAGATAAAACCGTCACTTTGTACAGAATTATGTCTTAGATCTTGGCTTATATTGGGTCTGTTTGTGTGTGTTTGGTGGGAAACGGAACTCTAGTCAGTATTTTTTTTAACAGGACCCTTGAGACCACTATAACAACTGCCAGGTGCTCCACTGTGAGACTGAGAGGGAGAGTCAGACACACACACACACACACACACACACACACAAACACACACACACAC